CTCGATCATTATATTCCGCCAACGACGGAAATGATTTCGTGGGATATCAAGGACATCTCCGCCTCGCGTCCTTGCGTCAGCTTATGAACGGTGCATTAATTCGCTCAATGAGCATAACAATGTAAATGCAGTCCTCAATCGGATACGCTGACCCCGCTATCATAATTTCGAAATTATCCTCGTTCCTTCGTGGACAACTCGTAACTCGATCCCCCGGAATTTTGATTCGCATTTTGATATCCTAGATCCTAGTCCATCGTCGAGGAAATTTTGGTTTGCCCAGTTCGAAAATAATCGCGCGTAACTCGCCAGTTGTACGTGGATGTAGAATAACAAGGAAGTAAATTAGCTCGTATTACGTATAGGAGAAACAAGTTTTTCTTACGGCTACAATCCTACGCAGAATGTTAAAATAGCTCGTTAAAAATTAAAATTCCTCACGTTTCACAATTTTTCTATCATCATCTATCGTCGTTTATTAGAAACGCCCATTGAGCTCTCCTCGATGTATGCACGAGATACGTAATAAAATCGTTCATCATTGGCAAAGAGAGAGGAAAAAAAAAAGAAATACTCCTCCAACGTTCTTGATCGAAAGATGTTTCTCATCTTCGTAAAGTTCCATCGTTTTTCTTTCTTTCTTTCTCTTTTTTTTTTTTTTTACATTTGGACGATCGTAAAACGGCGAGGGATTGGACGCGGATGGAGAGAAGATAGATTCCTAGTTGGCGAAATAGCCGTTCGTTCCCTGACCTCGAAACAACGCGGAACATAGACAGGTTGGCTGCGTTCGGCCGAGGAATTTGGCACGCACATACCCGACTCGAGCCCGCAAAAAGAAAAAAAAGAAATAACGATGCATCGAAGCCGTACAGAGGCCGTCCTGAATCTCGAACTTATAATATGATCGTTGATGGCCGCGCCTAATCTTCGCCGACAACGATACGACGGATCGTCGCTTACTTTCTCGCCGGTATTCGTAACCCACTTTTCAACCAGTCACCCCACGATTGCACCGGTGCCAACTGCTGCTCAAATTAGTAGCATCTAATTCGCTAGAATTATCTCGAGCCGCCGTTTCATTCCTCGATTCTCCGTTCTATCGAGGGAGAAAATTCTTCGAGAAGAATCCACAGTTTCCACAACCGAATCGAAGAGGTAGAGATGTATCGAGCTTGAGTGGAGGCTGATACTTTAAAACCGTACTTTAACCTCTTCTTCCTCCACCGTGTTTACCACTGAAAAATACCTTGGAGAAGGATGGGCGAATCGTGAGAAACGGTTTCAAGGTGGAGGCCACGCAGGGGGGAAGAGGCGTCCCTCCCGCGCGATAGAGATAAAGAAGCGTGGAGGAAAGCACCGCGTGGAAGAGTGGGCGACAGAGTTTCACATGACCGAGTTAGAGCATCCAGTTTTGCCTGGGGACACGATATATATATATATATATATACTATACCAGTCATGCTAAATATCGTTTTCACGTAGGCCGGTTGATTGCTCGACAGAGCAATCCCTAATTGGCCAGAGGTCACAATCATGAAACGTAATTTCATCCTGCTAAAAGGTAATTGCCGGGAATTGCCGTTCCCTTCGCTTCGCCGATATTCGTATCTTCCGTGTCATTCGAATTCGATCGGATAAATTTGCGCGATTTCAAAGCCAAGTTTTTGGGAAGTTAGAAAAGTTTCTCTCTAACGTGATATCCTCGAACAGGAGGGACAAAGAGGATTGTAAAGATGGAGGAAAATGTGTTTTTGAGGAATTTATTCTCGATCCAGGCCAGCTTGATACGCAGTATTTTGCAGCGTTTTCAAATGTTGGTCGCTCGAGGTATTTTAACACCTTTCACGATTGGACGAAATTGATCGGGAGGCTTAGGCCAGCCATCGCGTGATTTAAATTTATCGCACGTTTTATTGCCAAGAAATTAGAAACTCTAACGAATCTCCACTTTTACACCTCGTAAATTTTGCTAATTTTTAACAGATAGACGGACAGATAGATTTCTTAGAGAGGAGTTCAGTCTCAGAGTTAGGATTAATTTCATCTTGGATCGTGTATGGAATAGGGTCAAACTAGGCGGACGTCTTCCTTCCATGATCTCATATGGCTTCATGGTTGAGCGTTTTTTTTTTTTCTTTTTTCTGACCTTGCTCGATACTACACCTCCCAGCATTCCTGCCTAATCGAACGACACACCTCTCGCTGCCGCGTCCGTGTCTCGTCACACACGCGCGCACACACGTCTCGGTTAGAAACGTGGTTCCTTCATCCGTGTGCGCCTCGATCCACGTGATTACGAGAAGGCGCTCGTTTAAACCCACGTTACGTTTTCGATGCGTGTTTTCTTCCTGGACGGTTTGGAATTTTTTGGAAAGAGAAGGAAAACGTGAATTCGGTCGTTTTATGAACTGGTCTTTTCGATCGATCTCTTTTTTTTTCCCCAGGAAAAGAATTCGACACGTGTCGAAAAAGAAACTTCTTCTTCTTCTTCTTCTTCTTCTTCTTCTTCTCGAAGAAGTTTTAAAGTCGAAGTTTCTAGAGAAGGAAGTAGAAATTGGGAAAGGAGTTTGGAATTTTTAAATTAATCTCGCGACACCTGCCCAAATTCTCGCGAAAGTAAATTCTTTTTTACGGCCATTACCATACAGAGGCGCGCATTTCTGCGGACTTTCTTCGGTGTAACCTACTTCCGGCAGAAGAACAGGAGGAAGAATGACGTTCACACCGGGCAAAAGAAGCCCGGGTATAATAGAGAGACAAGATCTTCAGACTGGTTTCCTCGAACGACATTGTTATCACAGTGGAAGTAAAATTAACCTGGTTTCCGTGACTTTTTCCACTTGGAATCTAATTTCACTTCGGCCCGGCAAATGTCACTTTGCAACAATACCGACGTGTCTATCAAAAGCCAAGATCATCGCGAGAAAGAATTATTAAAAAAACGTTTCCGTGCTTTCCTTTATTTATATATATATATATATCTCGTCGTATTTCCTCAAAGTTTTCTCCTATCTGGTTACATTTATTCAATTAATTGCGCAACCAACTGCGCACCGAACAGATTATCGCACCGAAATTTTTCCGCCTTTTCTCGTAATAAAACGTTTCAATAAAACATTCCACAACGCGGGGAGAACTTGAACGTTGAATTTTCATGTTGACGCGTGAAAGTGTAACGCGTGAGTCGCGAAGAATGGGGGAAAAAAAAAGGCGAGATAAAGTCGAGTCGAGTCGAGGAAGAAGATGCACGATCGAAGATACATATTTTGTAATTTTCGATCGAGGGACAAGGAGCAGGGACGAGAAAGTAAGAAAGGTGGAAAAAGATTTCACGAGGTTGCCGCGATCGTTTCTTTTTTTAGAAACTTCCGCGACCCCCGCCGCTAAATTCTCTCCCAAGAAATTGGCTTCGAACGGTGCAGAGAAATTTCCCTCCGCGAGATGCAAAGGAGGAAAACCTTCCGTGTACGTAAAAAGTTTGAAAATAACCGTCCGGAAAAATTCGAGGGAAATTCACGCGAAATTTAACCCGCGGTTTCTTGCTGGATTGCGCAACGATTCGAAATCGTGTACGATTTTACTACGATCTTTCTTTACGAAACGAATTATTTATCGATCCGAAATGAAAATTTCGAACGAGTAAACGACTCGATTCCGACTCGATAAATTAGACCACGGCCGCGCGGTGGAATAGAAAGTTGCAGAGCGGATCGAAAGGTGCAGGCGAAAGAAGAGAGCAGAAACAGGGTCCGGTGGTTGGATATATATATATATATATATGGAAGAAAGAAGGAAGAAACGATCTCTTCGTTTCCCCCATCGTGTTGACATTTTAGCGACCAAGGAGAAGACTTCCTTCTTCCCGCGGCAATAACTTCGTTGATTAACAATCATTCCCGCCGTTCTTCTTTCCCCCGCCTCCGAGGATGTAATAATTCGACGCGCTAATTGCCACGAGCTTTCATCGAGATTAAGACACTCTCACTGACGGGGAAGGAGAGCCTTTGCTCCGATACGCGTCTCGCCTCTCCTCGCGTAATTTCCCTCGCGTTTTCTTTTCCTTTCCTTTTATCCTTCCTTTTGTCTTCGATCCGACTCGTCTCTCTCTCTCTTTTTGCCCCGGTAAAGTGGGACGTATTTCAAGAATACCGCTCGTAAAATTTCGTCCCATCACTCGACTCGCCACCGAGTCTCGAACCCGATTACCGCGAACGAACATTTAATCGAAACGTGTCGAAGCGATTTCGAAGGCGTAGAAAAAAAATTCTTTCCACTTTGGATCCAAGACGAGAAATGGATCCAAACGTTGTACGTTTGCTTTCCATTTTCCAACCGCGAGTTTTCACGCGAAGAGGAAGGTTGCTTTCTTTCTTTCTTTCTTTCTTTCTTTTCTCTCGATTGCAGAGATGCGAAACGAGGTAGGAGAATGGCTGCCCACCTGCGTAGGTTCACCGATATGCATCCTGCTGTTATCATGGTCCCTTCTCATCTATCAGAACCAGCCGTCCTCGGCGAAGAGGAAGATCGACGTGTTCACGGTGGCCATCCTCTCGCAGAGTTTGGTCCACCAGCTCGGCCTGCTCTTCTACGCCATACTCACCCTCATCCGGCCGAGTAATCACTTCGGAGGTAAAAAAAAAGTTGCTGCTCGAATTTCAAGATTATTGGGAGGGGAGAGAATTTTATTTGCCTCGACTCGATCGCAGAATTTTGCTCGACCCTCGTCTGGATCCTGAACTCGTCCAGCATCCTGCAGGAGTTGACCCTCACCTCGATCGCGATATTCACCGCGATCAACGCGGGCGAGGAAGGCGCCAGCCTCACGAAGAATCACCTCAAGTATCATCTGGTCAGCCTGAGCGTGATCAGCGCGTGCGTCGGGGTGACGGGTGTCCTCAACTTCGAGCCGGAGCTGTGCGTCTTCTTGGCCCAACAGATCTCCCCCAAATACGGGATATTCGTCAACTGTCTTCGATGCCTGTTGATCGCCGCCACAGCGGTGAGCCTGCTCGTTGCGTTGGTCAGGCGTCTCTGTCGCCCGGCCAAATCCGAGCTGCTCAAGTCGGTGTCGGATCTGTCCGAGACGAGCTCGAAGAACTCGTCGGGCGCCTTCGAGTGCCATCCCCAGCATTGGGATCCCTCGAGCGGATCTTGCACCAGCGGATCCACCAACAGCAGAGCTTGTTTGCGGAAGAAGAGGGTGCAGATCGAGGAGACCGGCGGGAGGCCGACCACCTACAGCATACTATTCGTCTGTTACGCGTTTCAGTATCTTCCGATTTTGGTGAGCGAAAATTTTTCTTTTTCTTTCTCTCTTTTTTTTTTTTTTTGTTCGATCGATGACGAGAGCGCTTACTTCGTAAGAAGCGAGAATTTCGTAACAAAGTATCCGCAAAATCGACGGATGGAGCCGTGACTCAAAAGGATCTAATTTATTTACCGATTTATTACGCGTGAGTTAAAAGTGTGAAATTACACGGATTATACGTTTGTCGATTTGAAACGCTCGTTACGAATCGTTGTTTAATTATCCACGAATTGAAGAAACTGATTATCTTTACCCTTGAAAACCGGAAAAGACCCGTGCTCGAATCCCTCTCCACCGGAAGGAAACACGAGTCGCCGATCACCTTTTTTTTTTCATTCTCTTCTCTCGCCCACACCGGAATTCCGTTCGTTCGTCAATCGAGAAAGTCAACGCGTGCAAAAGGGGAGGGGAACAACAATCGATGCCTTTCTTTCATAAGGTCGCCATATAACGCGCTTTGTCCAATTATATGTTCGAAAGTTTCATATACGTTCGAAATAAAATTGCAACGTGAAGAAAATTAGTAAGAGGGACGACCACCGCGACAAAAGTAGAAACAATAGCGGCATAAATAATATTGGAAAGTGTAGCGAGCTTAATACGGATCGCGGCCTCGATATCAAACTCGATTAAGATTCGTTGGATACCACGTTTCGACTCGTGAAACTTCCCCTGACCTTCCTCGTTAATATTTATAATTCGCTCGTACGCGTGACGTATTCGTTATCGCCGTCGGTACACGAATCAGGTTGCTTCTGCGCAGCCGTTGAAACCTCTCTCCCCTCTCCTTTCCTTCCTATTAGTAGCGTCGCGCCGTCCGACAATTCGACAAAGAGATTTCCTTTCCTTCCGTGAAGATGTTCGCGTTGCTCTTCCTTCTTGCATCTTTCGTTAATCACATCTCTAAATCTATGCTTCTCTACTCGCTCGTCCACACGGTGTGGAACGTTGTGGTCTTTGCGCAATTATTAATTCATACCCGTCGAATGATTTTACACCGCGTTATGTAAACGCATCCACGATAATTAAATTAGAAACGCGAATACCGTCATCTTGCTCGTTTCTGAAGTTTCGAACCTGCTCGACGACGACGACGACGACGACGATACGATTGAAAAAACTCGAGTCTCTTGGAGCGTTTGAAAATCGTCGTGAACCGTTGCCGATCTCGATCAACGACGACGTGGAGCAAGAAAGCCGTGACGCTCCCATCGCGTTCTCTCCATCGAACAATTAAAAGAGGCGAGGTAAAATTCTCGGTCGAGATTCAAGCGCGAGTCGCCGCTCAAATTAATTGGAGAAACTCGCTCGTGAACGGAGACAGGATAATGGGTTGCGAGATGGAGGAAGGATAAAGATAGAGAGAGAGAGAGAGAGAGAGAGAGAGAGAGAGAGAGAGAGAGAGAGACGACG